GGGGGTGTCACACCCCCATACCCCCCTCAAGTTTCGCCCCTGACTTCATGCCTTTTTTGAAAACATTGATTTTAACGTAATTCTTTGCACGAATGTAACCAAAGATGTTTTGAAGTAACATAAAATTTTCATTAAATAATTTTTTTTTAAACGGTACGTATAATGTATATGGATGAAATTATAAGTTTTAAGATTACCTTAAGCCGGTTTTCCACTAGCGAATTTCTCCACGTGAAGCGACCTTTTTCCTTTGTCGGCATCCATTTTGCAGCCCTCGAAAACCGTCAAAATTGAGGTCGGCAAATCAATTTTCTCTTTCACTAACTTTGTAAAACAATTTAATTGTTAGATAGAAACAACTATAAATATACACTTTGTCCAATTCGTTTGCTTTCGGCTGTTCCTTTAACGGTGACAAGGCGACGGCTTTGACTTCGCACTTACCAAATCCAAAACGAGTTAACGTATCTCGGATATGCTTATTGACATAACGGACTTCCGTGTACGCTTTCTTAGCTGTCACGCATAGATTGAGGAACATTTTGAATTTTTCACGCGTACTTTAAGAGAGAATTTTAAGGAATCATATTTAGTTATTTACCATTTCAGTCTATTTTAAGACTGCGAAGACTAAGTGTTCTTCATATATCTTGTTAATAGAATTTGAAGATTGTTTTGTTTCCTCAGCAATTTTACAACCAATATAATTGAGGAACATTTGAAAAGGCAAATCAGGATCCGAGGAACATTGAACACTTTTTCCAGGTCTGCTATCACGAAATAATCCGGGACGTATACATATTAGAGCAGAAAGTTGCATGTCCTGTTTTCCATACTTGTTAAAGTTGACAGCCCCAGTTCTCTTAATTTCTTTATTAAAGGACATTGGCAACGAAAATTTTTATTCGCTATTTCAATCCTACTTGACAACCGAACTATGAAAATATTCTCATTTCCTTCTTGAACATTTTAGTCTACGAGTAAAATGCATGCAAACTTTGTGTTTCGGCCAGTTTCGCCGCCATCTTGGAAAATATTTTTGAAAAATTGTGACGCCATTGGCTGGGTAGCACCAAAACTACAAGAGAGAATTCTATTGCGTGCTAAAAACATGTCGTTTTGAGCGTTATACTGGCCAACACTCTTTGCAATCAAACAAGAGAAGTCTACACTATCAGATAAAAACATATCGAGCGACTGGGAAAGCAAGAAATGGCGCAATTTACAATGCAGGTAATT